AATGTGTCTTTTGTTGTACAAGTACCAGGCTGTTTTGACTACTACAGCTGTATAGTAGGTTCTGAGGTCAGGTAGTGCGAGTCCTCCTTTATTCTTCTTTTTCAATAGTGCTTTACTTATCCAGGGCTTCTTCCCTTTCCATATAAAGTTAATGATTAGTTTTCCCATCTTGCTAAAGAATGGTGTTGGTATTTGGGTGGAGATTGCATTGTATTTGTAGATTGCTTTGGGTAGAAATGACATTTTCACAATGTTGAGTCTACCTATCCATGAGCATGGTATGTTTTCCCATTTATGTAGGTCTCTTTTGGCTTCTGGCATTAATTGTCTTTGTATAGGTCTTTTACAACCCTGGTTAGACTTATCCTAAGTATTTTATTTCTTTTAGGGGCTATTATAAATGATATTGTTTTCCAGATATCCTTTTCATAATCCTCTTTATTGGTGTACAGGAATCCAACTGATTTTTGTATGTTTACCTTGTATCCTGCTACTCTGTTGAATCTTTCTATTAGTTCCAGTAGTTTTCTCAATGGAGTCTTTTGCGTTTTCTATGTACAGTATCATATCATCTGCAAATAAGGACAATTTTACTTTTCCCTTACCAATTTTGATGCCCTTTATTTCTTTTTCTTCCCTGATTGCTGTAGCTAGGACTCCCACCACAATGTTAAATAGGAGTAGTGATCAAGGGCATCCTTGTCTTCTTCCTGTTCTCACAGGGAATGTTTTCAGCCTCTCTCCATTACGAATGATGCTGGCTGTTGGTTTTGTATAGATGCCCTTTATCAACAAATAATTCTTTAATATAAGTATGCCACTATGCATCTGTCAGTTTGTCATACTGTGGTGGATTGCATGTTGCTGTGATGCTGGAAGTTATGCCACTAGTATTTCAAATATCAGTAAGGTCATCCATGGTGGACCGTTTTCAGTGGAGCTTCCAGACTAAGGCAGACTAGGAAGAAAGACCTGGCAGCCTACTTCTGAAAAAATTGGCCAGTGAAAACCTTAATAATAGCAGTGAAACATTGTTTAATATAGTGCTGGAAGATGAGCCCCTCAGGTTGGAAGGCACTCAAAATATGACCGTTAGTATGGACTGTGAGTTCCGTATGGCCATTGCAATGAATTATAGAACCCAGGAGAGAAGTAGAGAGTGCAGGGACAGCTGGTGTCAGCATTGGTGAAAAGGTTGGAGAGTGGAGGTATGTCTGACCTCCACCTTATAAGAGTCAGCTTTGGGCTGATGGTGATTCTCTCTCCTCCTACTGAAGTTAGACGATTTCAGGCACTACTACGTGAATATTACAAGTTTTACTAAAAAGTTATTGTTTCTCTGAAAGTTAACTTCTAACTGTACGTCCTGATTTTATTTATCAGCCCCTCCAGGAACCCTGCCTCCCCACTCCTGCCCCACTACATGGCCTAGGAAAGGGGAGCTCACTGAGGACTTTCACTTCTGCTTCTTCAATGGCCCAGGGCCCAGTGGGAGAGCCCCCACCTTCACCCCAGCCAGGCCCCGTGGCTGACACCTGTCCTCCCTGGCCCTCCCCCAAAGGTGACTCTGGAAAGACCAACTCAGCAAGCCCAAACCCAGGCCCCCACAAAGACTGAGAGCATCAGTGGCAAGGCAGAGTGGGGCGTGGAAAGGACACAAAATGTAGGTCCCGTGGTCTCAGGACCAGAAGCTCATTATATGCATCAGTCCTCAGCCACAGCTTCCGCCCTCGGCTTCCCCTTTTGCCCTGTCTACAGCCAGTCCCAGCGCCAGGGAAATGAGCTGGCTCCAAGATGCTGCTGCTGCTGCTGCTGCCCCTGCTGTCCATGCTGTTGGGAGGTAAGTGGGCTGAGAATCAGAGGGGTCTGGGGGAGAGGGTGCTAGGGCTGAGGTTGCAGGTCAAGCCTCTGTCTCCCCTCAGGGTCCTTGGCTCTGGATTCGAAATTCTGGCTGAAAGTGCCGAGTTCAGTGACGGTGCAGGAGGGTCTGTGCGTCCTTGTGCCCTGCACCGTTGGCTACCCCCGGGTCGGCTGGACTGACTCTGACGCAGCTCACGGCTACTGGTTCCTGGAAGGGACTGCCACTGCCACTGGGGCTCCAGTGGCCACAAACAACCCAGATAAAGAGGTCCAGAGGGAAACCCAAGGCCGATTCCAGCTCCTGGGGGAACCCCGTACTGGGAGCTGCTCACTGGTGATCAGAGATGCACGGAGGGAGGACACGGCCACGTACTTCTTTCGGGTGGAGAGAGGAAATTATGTCAAATTTAATTTCATGACATACACGGTGTCCCTGGAAGTGACAGGTATGGAGATGCCTGAGCTTGGATGGGCTGGGGACAGACTGTGATGGTCTCACCACAGTCTAGAGCTAGGATCCCTCTCTCTCTGCCCCAGGCCTGACACAGCCTGATGTCTACATTCCTGAGACCCTGGAGCCAGGGCGCCTGGTGACACTGCTCTGTGTGTTTCCCGGGAACTTCGGGGATTGTCCAGCCCCTACGTTCTCCTGGACGGGGGCGGCCACCTCCACCCAAGGAACTGGATCACAAACCTCCCTCTTCTCTGCGCTTACCTTCATGCCGAGACCCCAGGACCACGATACCGAGCTCACCTGTCAAGTGGACTTCTCCAGAAATGGTGTGAGCACTGCAAGGACCGTCCGACTGAGCGTGGCCTGTGAGTTTGTGGGCAGGACTCCGGGGTGCGAGACAGGCCAGGCGTAGAGGGAGGTGAGAAATCACTGTGGTAATTAGCCAACCAGAGCTTGGGATGGTCCCCGGGAGGAAAGGCGAGTCCCAGGCTGCCTTTGGCACTGGGAGGTGACTGAGACGGTTCTGGCCCTCTGGGCACAGCTGTGTCTGCGATGCAGGCTGTCCCTGGTCCTCCCTGGGGCATCACACTGTCTTTCCTGGGGTGCTCTTTCTGACTGTGGGGAAAATATCCCTCCCAAAGCTGACTCACAATCTTGTTGCAGATGCCCCGAAGGACCTTGTCATCAGCATTTCCCAGGCTAAAGTGTCAGGTACTGCTGTGTGTGTGTGTGGCGGGGGGCGGGGGGTGGCTGATTTGAGTAAGGTTGAGCCAGTCTGTTTGGGAAACAATAAGGTTTTGGGGGGCCTAGGTAGCTGGCGCCCCTCCCTGAAGCTCTCTCCCCTCTCTCTCCAGGCCCGGAGTCCCAGGGAAATGTCTCACATCTGGAAGTCCAGAAAGGCCAGTTCTTGAGACTGCTCTGTGCTTCTGATGGCCAGCCCCCGGCAACACTTAGCTGGGTTCTGGATGACAGGGTGCTCTCCATGTCCCCCCGCGCAGAGTCTAGAACCCTGGAGCTGGAGCTGCCTCAGGTGGGGCCCAAGGACACAGGGCGCTATACCTGTCGAGCAGAGAACAGGCTGGGCTCCCAGCAGCGCTCGCTGGACGTCTCTGTGCAGTGTGAGTGTGGACAGGGTGGGTTTCCAGGAGGGGGAACAGTCTGGGGGAGAGGCTCTGGGGTCAGGATCCCAGAGCTGGGAGGGAGCCTGTCCCCAGGGTGATGGCAGCAGGCTTCCTACCTGTCTGAATCATTGTGTGGTTTGTATCTGAGGCTCAGCAGGTGATTCAATCCCTCCCCCGCCCCACCCCAGCCCCAGGATGGCTCCCTTTGCCCACAGGGAAGCCCCTGCCCGCTTTGAGCCAGGCCCCTGTCTCCTTTTCAGATCCTCCAGAGAATCTGAGAGTGATGGTGTCCCAAGCAAACAGGACAGGTATGAAGGAGGGACAGAGAACAACACCGTGGGCCCGGGTATCTGGAACACTGGTGTGAAAGAGGGTCCCTGTGCCCTCAGTTCCGCATCTATCCTGCCCCTTTGCTTCTTTCTCCCTTCCCCCCAGTCCTGGACAACTTCGGGAATGACATGTCCCTCCCAGTCCTGGAGGGCCAGTCCCTGCGCCTTGTCTGTGTCTCCGACAGCAGCCCTCCAGCCACCCTGAGCTGGGTCGGGGGGAGGCAACCCGTGAGCCTCTCGCAGTCCTCGGACCCCGGGGTCCTGGAGCTTCCTCAGGTTCAGAAGGAGGACGAAGGAAAGGTCACCTGCCGAGCTCAGAACCCGCTGGGCTCCGGACAGGTCTCTCTGCTCCTCTCTGTGCTCTGTGAGTGTGCGGGCCCCTGCAGGTAGGGCGCCCGGATCCTGGGTGGGAGGGGCCGCCGCTGAGCTCTCTCTCCTCTCCCTCCGCACAGACCCGCCCCAGGTGCTCAGCCCCTCCTGCTCCTGGAAGACCGAGGGTCTGCGCTGCAGCTGCTCCGCCAGAGCCTGGCCCACCCCCTCCCTGCACTGGAGGGTTGGGAACTGGCTGGTGGAGGGGAACAGCAGCAACGCCTCCGTCATGGTCACCTCCAGCTCCGCGGGGCCCTGGGCCAACAGCTCCCTGAGGCTTTCCGAGGGGCTCAGCCTCGGCCTGGGACTCCACTGTGAGGTCCGAAACGACCACGGCGCCCACAGCGTCACTGTCCTGTTGTTGCCAGGTCGGGAGGCCAGACGGGTGTCCGGGTTCTGTTGTGTCGGAGGGTGCCGGGTGGGGCTGGAGTCCGGGTGGTGTGGCTGGAGGAGCTGGGACATGGGCCTGCGGATGTGGAAGGAAGACACAAATTGGCAGCCTGATACTTGGGGTGCAGCACGGTTTCTGAGCAGCAGATGGAAGGGGGAAGATGCAGGCAAAATGTTGGGGTTGCAGGCATGGGAGCCAGAAGCCTGAATGCCTAGAGGTGGAAGGGCATGAGGGCCCACATGGCTGGGAACAGCTCATCTGACCCTTTCGTTGCACAGATAAAGGACTCGTTTCAACAGCTTTCTCCAAGGGGGCATTTCTGGGAATTGGCATCACAACCCTCCTTTTCCTCTGCCTCATACTGATCATGTGAGTTAGGAAGATCAGTGATGGGGTGTGGGATCTGGGGTTGGGGAAAGGGAGAGTACAAGGGTGCACACCAAGGTGGGTTCGTTTCCTCAGTGTGAAGACTCTAAGGAAGAACTGGACCCAGGCAGGGGCTCTTCGGCCCCGGGCCTTGAGGGTCAGCTCAGTCATGGATTACATAAATGTGGACCCCAACGCGCCTCCCTTGGTGAGTAGCTGGGCTCTCGGCTGCTCCTCTTCCTTCTTTGACTATGGTATACACCCCTCCCCCATCCTGCAACCACCACTGGCTTGGAGACGTCAAGGTGTCATTCGCACCATGGCTCTGGCACCTACTGTGAGACCTTGGACATGTCGCTCACCCTCTCTGAGCCTCCACTTCTCCTTCAGTCTCCTGTGAGAGTTGGAGTATTAGAATACTCATGTATTTCTCAATATGTGGCAGCTATTCCATTATTCAAGGAGCCCTAGCGGCACAGTAGTTAAGGGCTTGGTTGCTAACCAAAAGGTCAGCAGTTTGAGCCCACTAGCCACTCCAGGGAAAAAGATTAGCAGTCTGCATCTATAAAGATTACCCATTGCCAGGCAGTCAATTCCAATTCAGAGTGACCCTATAGGACAGAGGAGAACTGCCCCCTTAGAGTTTCCAAGGTGGTAATCTTTACAGGAGCAGACTGCCACATCTTTCTCCCATGGAGTGGCTGGGGGGTTCGAATCACTGAACTTCTGGTTAATAGGGACTCCCAAAGCCCCATAAAACAAACAAACAAACAAAATAAACCCGTTGCCGCCAAGTCGATTCTGACTCATAGCAACCCTATAGGACAGAGTAGAACTGCCCCATAGGGTTTCCAAGGTTGTAATCTTTAGGGAAGCAGACTGCCCACATCTTTCTCCTGCAGAGCACCTGACCTTTCCATTAGTAGCCAAGCTCTTAACCATGGCCTTGGAAACTCTATGGGGCAGTTCTGCTCTGTCCTGTAGGGTCACTGTGAGTCAGAATCGACTTGTTGGCAATGGATTGGTTTTTGATAGTCTATTATTCACTGTCACCAATGCTATTACCAAGAATAATCAATTATATAATAATTATTAATATTATTGGGAAGCAGTAAGTCATCGCGATTAAGAGCTGGGACTCTGAAGTCAGCCTGCTTGGGTTCAAATCCTGCTTTTCATTGCTGTGTGTTCTTGAACGAGTCACTTAACTTTTCTGTGCCTCAATTTCTTTAACTGTGAAGTGGGGATCAGAGCAGTGCCTATCTCCTAGGATAGTTCTAGGCATGAAATATGCTCATATTGTAGCTGTAAAGCATTTAGAATAGTGCCTGGCACCTAGTAAGTGTTCAGGAAGCACTGGCTGTATATTAGAAGACAACAAGTATATGCTGATAGCTTCAAAATTTACAACTCCCAGCTTCTCAGACTCATATCCAAAGGTCTATGCAGCATTTCTATGTGAATGTCTAATAAACCTGTTGCCATCGAGTCTATTCTGACTCATAGCAACCCCATGTGACAAAGTGCAACAGCCCCATAGGGTTCCCTAGCCTGTAATCTTTATGGAAGCAGACTGCCAGGTCTTTTCTCCCGTGGAGTGGCTGGTGGGTTCAAAGTGCTGACCTCTTGGTTAACAGCCGAGCACTTAACCACTGTGGCATCAGGGCTCCTCTGGATGTCTAATAGGCATCTCAAACTTACCCGGTCCAAAGCCAAGCTTAGGGCTAACTCCACCACTTACACTGTCCCCTCCATCCTCCCATCTTAGCAAATACCACCACCATCTGTCCAACTGCTCAAGCCTGAAGCCTTAGAATCATCATTCATTCCTCTCTATCACTCCACAACCAATCCACCAGCAAATCCCATTAGCTCTACCTTCAAATATATCCAACATCAAACCACCTCTCCCCCGTCGCTCCTGCCTGCCTTGTCCAAGCACCAACATCTTTCACCTGGACACAACAGTAACCCTCTACGTGGCCTCTCTGCTTCCACTCCTGTTCCTTCAGCCTATTCTCTGTACATAATGTCATTTTAAAACACAAACAGGTACATCCACACCATGGAGTTGGAGTACCACACAGCAATAAAAGGAAAAAGTTATTGATACACACAACCAATTGGATGGACCTCAAGGACAAAAAAAAAAAAAAAAAAGTGAAAAAAGCCGATCTCAAAAGGTCACATACTGCATGAGTTCATTTATATAACATTCTTGAAATGACAAAATTATAGAGATGGGGAACCGATTGGTGGTTGCGAGGGGTTAGGGACGGAGAGGTGATGAGTGGAAATATGAGGGACACTCTGAGTGGGCTGTGGCATCACTAGGTGGGTGCAGGGGGTGTGGACGACACCAGGCGACACTGTCAGAATGACTATCTAAAATTTTTGTGCAGTGTTTCAGCGGAAATTTATTATTTTTTATAGAAATGTCCCTGTAGTTAGTTACAACAACAAAAACCTCACCAAACCAAACCCACTGCCATGGAGTCTATTCTGACTCATAGCGACCCTATACGACAGAGTAGAACTGCCCCATAGGGTTAACCAGTTAACCACTGCGCCATCAGGGCTCCCAAACCCAGTTTACATGTATCAATCTACTTACAAGGCTAAAACTCTATGCTATTTGCTTTTTGAACTTCTAACGTGCTCCAGTCAGAGCTGTCATTATTACCCGAGTACAATGATACTTCAAATCATGTGGTTTCGTCTGCACATACTAGTTGCTGCCAGTGTTTTTATGGTTGGTACGGGAGGAGGTCCATGGGGTGTGGGTGACACCATGAGTTACCTCACCAGGTGACATCCATCCTAGTGACGCCACTGTGGATGGGACAGGGGTCCCTGGGTGATGCAGATGGCTAAGCACTTATAAAGACGGTCCAGTCGTAGTGTCAGAACCTGTCTAACTTCAGGGGGGATAATACCCAGGATCAACCCAGAGCTGATTCCCATGAGGTGGAGGTCAGACGTGCCTCCACTCTCCAACCTTCTTACCAGTTCTGACACCAGCACTTGACAACTAGCTGAAAGATTGGGGGTTCAAACCTACTCAGAGGTGCCTTGGAAGACAGGCCTTTCGATCTGCTTCTGAAAGGTCACAGCCTTGAAAACCCTGTGGAGCAGTTCTACTCTGCCAACATGGGGTCACCATGAGTTGGAATTGACTCGACAGCAACTAACAACAACTCTGCTTAAATAGCATCTCCTGAGATGGAGCCTCCCTGACTGCCCTGTCTAAAAACAGTCATCCACCTGCCCCTCCCCGCCCCCTTCTTACCATGGTTGATTTTCTTCACCGCATTTACCACTACTCAGTACTATATTTTTGCTTGCTAGATGCTTGTTCTTGCTTGCCACAAGATTGAATGTCAGTTCAGCGGGGGCAGGGACATTGTTTTTGTTCCCCACTGTATCCTCAGCTCCTAAAACACAGTCTGGTACATTGCAGGTGCTCAGACATTTGTTGAATGATGGGCAATTGTTATTCCCTTAGGCTCAGAATCGGAAGGCCACACCAAGCATTCCTGCTGAGAGCCCTGCTTCAGCTGCTCGCCCCCCGGAATCAAAGAACCTCAGTTGCCCAAGATCTAAACCAACCATTCAAAGCCCAGAATCAGAGAATAACCAAGAGGAGTTCCACTATGCTAATCTCAACTTCCAGGGCCTCAGATCACGGGAGACCCGGGAGCCCAAGGACACCCACACTGAGTATGCAGAAATCAAGTTCCATCGAGGGTTTGCTGGGCTTTAGAACTGGGACCCAGGCCACAGAGGAAGGGAAAGAAACAAAGAGGACAGGGAAAATGGAGAGCAAAGTCTCTTGTTTTTCATCCTCCAAGGATGGGTCATCTCATCTCAGCTTCCAGCATTTGGAATATATCCGTCTGGAGAGTCCTTGCTCTGAAAAGCAAGGAAAAGATTTTCCTCGGAAATACCCAGGCATCATCCTAGCTAATCCCTCATGGTCTCATGGATTCTCAAAGGTGGGAGGGTCTTTAAAGATGATTAAACCAGGACCCAGCAAACTAGGCCCACAGACCCAATCTGGCCCACTGCCTATTTGCCTATTTTTGTACCACCCTCGAGCTAAGAATGTTTTCACATTTGAGATGGTTGGGAAAAAAAAAAAAAAATCGAAAGAAGACGAATGATTCATGACACACAATTATTATGTGAAATTTGAATTCCCATGTCTATAAATAAAATTTTGTTGGACCACAGCCATGTTCATTGGTTTTTACATTGCCTGTGGCTGGTTTGAATCCCTGGGTGATGCAAATGGTGATTTGCTCTCAAATACTAACTAAAAGATTGGAGATTTGAACCCAGCCAGTGACATTTGGAAGAAAGCCCTGGCCATCTGCTTCTGTAAAACTGACGGCCAAGAAAGACAACCCTATGGAGCTCAGTTCTACTCTAACACATGCGGTCGCATGAGTTGGAATTAACTCAACGGCAATGGTTTTTGGTGGTGGTGGTGGTTGTTGTTTGGTATGGCTGCTTTCATGCTACAGTGGCAGAGTTGCGTCATTGGCCTGCAAACCCTACAATATTTACTATCTGGTCCTTTCCATGAAAAGTTTGCAGAGCCATGAACGAAACTAAATGAAACCACTTATTTTTACAGAACTAAAAACAGAAGCAGAGATCCAGAAAGAGCTCAGGAGTCGCCACATCAAAAACAACTCGATGTGTGACAAGATGGAAAGTTCTAGGGTAAGGCCTTGCAGAGGCAGGAGACCACATTGTAGGTCAGGTGCTAGTGCATGCTCAGGCCCATAAGGCTAAGCTGGGCTCAAAGGCGTATAAAACCAAAAACCAAAACCAATGCTGTTGAATCAATTCTGACTCATGGTGAGTCTGTGATCTTATAGGACGGAGAAGAACTGCCCCATAGGGTTTCCTAGGCTGTAATCTTTACAAAGGCACATTGTTACGTCTTTCTTCTGTGGAGGAGCTGGTGGGTTTCAAACTGCCAACCTTTTGGTTAGCAGCCGAGCTCTTGACCACTGTGCCACCAGGGCTCCTTCACGGGTGTAGGCAAGAGTAAAATAAATGAGAGGGTGGAAGTGGTTTCAAAATTGCATGAAGAGCCAACTTACAATGTGCTATGAATAAACTGGCCGGTGTGGCCAGAGAGGAAGAGGAACCTGTCTCTTGGGGCGGCCCATGTCCCTTCTCTGCCTTCTTGCCGTCTCTTTCCCCAGATCTCACAGCCCTAGCTGGTCCAAAGAAAGCCCTGCCGGGGGATGGTTACCATTTTTCAGGGAGAAAACGGAGAAGCAGAGAACAAAAGAAGCTGACCTTTGCATTAAAAAAAAAAAAAAAAAGGCAATAAATTGCACCATTAAAAGATGGAAAATGTTGAAAACGTATGGATAAAGCAGAAAGGTGCCTGGGTTTTTCTCAAGTCACAACTATACCTAAGTAGGCAGTGTAATAATAAGGAGAAAGGAAGGGGAGGGAATATTTTGTGGGCACACACTAAAAAACAAACAAAAAAACCCAAACCCATTGCTCTCAAGTTGATTCCAACTCATGGCAACTCCATGTGTTACAGAGTAGAACTTCTCCATAGGGTTTTCTTAGCTTTGATCCTTTTACATAGCAGATTGCCAGGCCTTTCTTCCACAGTGCCACAAGGTGAATTCGAGCTGCCACCCTTTAGGACAAGAGTCAAGTGCAAACTGTTTGCACCCCCAAGGACTTTGCTTACTAATACTGTATTGTGTGTTAGTTATTTATTGCTATCTCCTTCAGTTTGTCCCCAAAAAACTGTGTAAGGTAGAGAGTATCTCCATTGTGAAAACATCGGAGACTCAAGAGAGTGAATTACCTTTGTCTAAAGCCACAGGAGCCCTGGTGGTACAGTGGTTAAGCGCTCCGCTACTAACTGAAAGACTGGCAGTTCGAATCCACCAGCTGCTCTGCAGGAGAAAAATGTGACAGTTGGCTTCCGTAAAAGATTTCCAGCCTTTGAAACCATATGGGACAGTTCTACGCTGTTCTGTAGGGTCGCTATGAGTTGGAATCCACTCCACCGCAAAGGGATTTTATTTTAAGGCCACACAGGAAGAAAACGGCGGAGCCAGGATCCCACCCATGTCTGTCTGACTCTAAAATCACAGCTTTTCCCCCTGCTTCATGGTCCCTCCTGCAGGCGGGCTCCGGAGTGAAAGGGCACCTCATCACCACACTATATGGCCCTCCTGAGGCTTGTTCAGAGGCCGCCACATAAAGAGGTGTGGCAGTTGCGCACAGAGGGAAGGACTTGCGTTTGCATCCAGTCTGCCGCTTCCTGCCAGCATGCTGTTATTATTGTTAGCTGTCATCCAGTTGATTCCATTCATGGCCACCCCGGTGTGCAGAGTAGAACTGATCCATAGGGTTTTCAAGGCTGTGAACTTTCAGAAGCAGATCGCCAGGCCTGTCTCCCAAGGCACGTCTGGGTGGGTTTGAACCGCCAACTTTTCAGCTTGTAGTCGAACACTTAACTGTTAGCACCACTCAGGGCTTCCCTCTCTGAGCCTTAATTTCCCCATGTATTAAAAGGAGGATAGTATTCCTACTTCAAAGGCATGTCCTCATGATCAAATAAGACAGCATAGATGAAAGCACTTTCTAAACTGTTGTTGTTATTCAATAACAAAATAAAATAAATTGTATAAAAAAAGAATATTAACTGACAAAACCACACTTCCGAAACCTCTACTTTGGTCTCATTTAACTTTAAACTCAGGGACTACAGCATGAGACAGCTGTATTAATTTGTTTTCAAGAATATGCATGTGACTGCTGTTAATTCTAGTTAAAACAAATATAGAAATGAATTCTGAAAGCAAAAAAAAAAAAAAAAACTGTTGTTGTTAGGTGCCATTGAGTTGGCTCTGACTCATAATGACCTTCTGTATAACAGAATGAGATTTTGCTCTGTCCTGTGCTATCGTCACAATTGTTAATATGTTTGAGCCCATTGTTGCAGCCACCATGTCAATGCATCTCATGGAGGGTCTCCCTCTTTTTTGCCGACCCTCTACGACCCAAATATTAAGCATTATTATCAGAAGTTGGCAAGTATCCTTTGATTCAGAAGAATAGAGAATGTTATCAAGATCCAGATCTTACATATTTGATGGCGACTATGATATTCTAAATTTTCTCTGCTTGTATAAACTGACTAATGCAGTGTAAGTAATCACGGGGGTCCCATATGGAGGGAAAAGGCAAATAGCTTTGGAGAAGAAGATAGAGAGCTAAGGAGAGGGCTGTGCTAGCAGCTTCCTTTGCCCTTCCTCCATAGTCACCCAAGGGGATTTGTTTGGTAGTTACTTGGCCATTGATGACATGGTAAGGAGGTCCCCCTGATATGTTTTGCTTCCCAGGTGTGCCAAAGCCTCTGAGTGCCGAATAAAATAAACTGAATGAGACGCAAGGACAGAGGTTGGCCACCGTTAAGAAGCCAGTATACTGAGTCATAGAATTACAGAGTCTTGGAGTGGGACCAGCCGAACTCAGCACCTCGTTTTATAGATGGGGCTCACAGAGGGACAGAGTCTTGCCCAAGATCATAGGTGGGATTCAAACTCACACAGACCCTATAACGGATGAGCAGAGCAGCCAGTGTCATTTTCGTTCAGTAGAGGCAGGTGGTTGCTAGGAGTAACCGTGAGTAAAAGAGGAACTCTCTACAAGCTACACAAAGGTTGAGTGATTCTGCTTCCTTCCCTCTACCCCAAATTCTGCCATGAGAGGAGTGCTGGAAAGCTTGGTGACCTCGGAAATCACCATATTGTGTTGCTAGGCAACAGTTTTGACTAGGGGTCAATAACTTCAAAATACGTGTGTTAATGTCCTGACTTCTGCAATAATGACTTGAGACTCTGAGGGGGGAAGGAGGATGTTGCTGTCTAGTACTTTCTGGAAAAGGCAATGTTGGGTAAATGGAAAAGAAAGAAAAAAAACCCAGAAGTCAGCAAGATCCAGTGTGCACATTCTGTATTGCCAGAAACTCACTGCAACCGGTTAATCAGGGACTGTTAAATCTAGGAGTCCTGGTGGCACAGTGGTTAAAGCACTCAGCTGCTAACCAAAAGGTCAGCAGTTTGACCCCCCCAGCCGCTCCATGGGAGAAAGATGTGGCAGTCAGTTTCCATAAAGATTACAGGCTTGGAAACCCTTTGGGGCAGTTCTACTCGGTCCTACAGGGTCATTATAAGTTGTAATCGAAGGACGGCAACACATTTGGTTTCCTTTTTGTTGTAGTTGTTATTAACTCCGTGAGATAGAAATATAAAACAGTTTTACATTTCTAATCACTACCTTCAATTGTGCTGTTAAAACTGTTTCTCATCCCTTAACGACATCTCAGACATTCCATAACTTTCCAGTCAGTTCTGATTATTCAGACTCATCCAGGTCTTAAATCTTAAATTCAAGCTTAATTCAAATCCCATTGCCTCCTTTCCCCAACCAGCACAGGTTTGAGCTGGGACTGGCCCCTTGGAGAAGGGAGGTGGGCAGTCGGCTCTGAGACATGTCCTCTCCCTTCTCACTTCAAAGTCTAGTTTCCCAAAGTACAGGAGCAGAGAGGAGGGACAAACACAAAGACAAGTTACTCTTCACCCAACTGGCCCCGGCTCTGGTGTCTGTTGGCTAAAGCTGCCTCTTTGGTTAACACCGGCTGATGCTGTGTGGCAGGTATCTGAACACTGACTCTTTCGTGGAGCACAAGTGAGAGAACTTTAGTGGGCCAGTGAGACTTCCTTCACTTCTCAGTTTCTTGACAGAAGAGCTCTGGATCCCCCTCTCCCACACCTTCTCCGACATCACCCTGGAAGACAACCCATGCCTCTTTTTCTAATTTTTTATTTACTTTATTTTATTTTTGTTTTTGTTGTTGAGAATATACACAGCAGCACATACACGAGCTCAACAATTTCTGCATGTACAGTTCAGTGACATTCATTGCATTCTTTTAGTTGTGCAACCATTCTCACTCTCCTTTTCTGAGCTGTTCCTCCCCATTAATTCACTGCCCCGTGTAAGTTTCCTATCTAATCTTTCAAGTTGTTGTTGTCAATTTGATCCCGTATAGATAGATCTTAAAAGAGCACAATGCTCAAGGCAGACATTCTTTACTAGTTAAGCT